TTTAGCGCGAAAAACAGTGTGAGCGCACGTCTCCTTCTTAGCTAATATGAGAAGGGATTTCACATGCAAATCTACTTGACAGCCACCTTCGCCTCGATTGCAATTACCACTTTTCTTCGTAGGCAGTCATAAATTTGCTGAAATATTTGATTACGTGCACGGCATGCTAACTATTAGATATATAGTGAATGCCCTGGCCGGCTTTTTTCATTTTTTAGATTACATATAACGATAACACATGTAAAAGATTATCCATCAAAAGATAGGGCCTCATAAAATTCGCACCTAAATACATCCAAAAAATATATGTCCGAAGTAGTGGTCCAGGTAGACCGAGTGAAGAACCATCCAGGCAGACCGAGTGAAGAAGGCGAGGCTACCAGGAAATTAAGAAAAACCTCGGTACGGTAGAAGGCGGGAGCCGCAAAAAAACAGCGAGTGTACGGTAAAAAACGGTGAACAACCTTGTTGAGCAGCGATTTTTTTGTTGAGATGCGCTATCCGTCCGCTCGCTCGAGACGATCTGTCTCCAGCCGCTCACTACCAGTGCTCTTTATATGCACACAAAACATATTAACAAAAACAACGTACAAAAACGCGCCGAAAAACGTCAGCCTCATCAAACTGTATGCGAAAAGAAAAAACAAAGCCATCAATCATCTGCTAATACAAATATGCGCCTTTCGGTGACGGCGGCGTTTATGGGAGTGTTTATATTTACCTCCGTAAACCCCACTGTTCTAACTCACACCTTACTGCTTTTTTCTACCTCATTTTTTTTATGGTTGTTTATTTTTCACCTCATTTTTCTTGTTTACTTATTTTTAATCGTTTTAAAAAAAAGAAGTGGAAAAGGAACTAGAAATAATGTACAGATAAAAAAAATAAAAAAAAAACTAGCAGTATAAGTTATGGAAAATTATATTATTATTTACTAACACTTATTCATTAGCTTGCTTTTTAATTTGCTTATTTTCTTACCCACGTGCTTATATGCCCGTATATTTCTTCTATGCTTATTCATTTGTATATTTGCTTATTTTTAACATCCCCAGTGTATTTGCGATTTTTATCCATTTATTTATTCCACACATCTCGCTGACAATGGTTTTTCACCTGCATTAACACCTGTTTCATCAAATAGCTTATTTGGTTTTGACCTTGACTAATTTGTTTATTTATTTTTCCCCAATCACTCTATTCAACAGGTGTTGCCGATTAACACAATCACGCAAGTTTCTTATCATTAGAAGTGATTTTTCATTATTTTCCCCCACTTATTTATTT